TTAGCGCGAAATGTGAAGTGTTTTATCCTCAAAAAATTAGTTCCACTTGAAGAGGTAACTCACAAAAATTAGTTCCGCTTGCCGAGGTATCTCATTAACAGAAACAGCTGGACAATTATTTTTTTACTTGCAACTTGGGGCATTTGTTTCCCTACATCACAAAAGGTAAAGCTCAGCGATAAAAACACGTTTCACTATTCCTAAACATCATAATTAGATTGTTAAAACTCCCCTTATTAAAAATCGCTAATTAACATAATATTAAATTCTCGTTATTTTGCCGGTTAGGAAAATACAATTGTCTCAATCTGTTTAGAGATTTCAAGAAAATGGAGTATAATAAAAAAAAAGTGTATGTCTATGCTTTGATGTCGGTTGGTTAGGGCTTAAAGGCTCGATGGCTGTGGGGGAACTCAACATACGGATGTATGATGTATGAACTCAACATAAGGATGAATGACGTCAGAATATAACATAAGGTAACCAGATATCACACTGCACAGCTCAACATATGATTCTCTGACGTCAGAACTGGATAGTCTGGCTGTGTGCGGAATCGTCGGAAATATAAATGGGACGAGTCACGTGACCTAAGAAACTGATTCAGTGAGGGAGGGTGAGGGAGGGGGGAGGAGACAAAAAGGTCAGGGACAAGTGACCGAAGTCTGTCCGGTTATAAAATAGGGCGACGATATATACGGAAACCTGACGTCTATAACACAAATATTATACAAGCCACACTAGACCCACACCTACCACACTTGACCGCACTGCACCTAAGACTTATATTCTCCGTAACCCACCCCCCACCCCCACACTCTAGTACAGACACACACACAGCCACACACACACACACATACACGCACGTACCTCTGGGTCCAAATTATTCTTCCAACACTACCATTCACACTCCAACACTCACCACTTCTCTCCCCCCCCCCTCCAGTAAATGACGCAAGGACTTTTGACTTAATCCCAGCCAATATTCAAATCACCGCTTGCCCGCGAGGGGCCTGCCAATAAAACACACTTATCATCTGCTTAGTAGATTAGACGGAATTATGGGGTCACGGGGTCAGATGGCTGGTTCCGGTTTCAGAACGAGGCTACGCATAACATTTTATCTTCGTTATCAGGGTGTCAGTACAACTACAAGCTTTTAGCTTCAAAATAACATTCGAAAAAACACATAAAATCTGCGTTTTTATATATATATATATATATATATATATATATATATATATATATATATATATATATATATATATATATATATATGAAAATGAATGAATATTTATATACAAGTCTATATATTTGTGAATTGTGAATGTGTATTTTATGTACCTATATGTCCATGTTTTATGTACATATTTATTTATATATCTATGCGTATATGTATATGTAACATATATGTAATGTATGTATAGTATGTGTGTCTGTCTCTCTGACTATGTATATATTTATGTTTTTATGATGATATACCGTTGAGGTTTTTTAAATAAGTTGCCAGTTTTGGCGTGTTTACCTTGCCGTCGCCATGAGCAAGACAGTTTTCATCATCGTGTCGTCGACTCACGTTCATCTCACGTGCACTGGGTTTAATTTCCTGCAGCAAGAGGAGATGTTAGCTAATCGGTGAAATATGTGGGCGGGGTGAGTGGGGTGGAGGGGGTGAGTGGGATGGGGGTGAGTGGGGTGGGGGTGAGGGTTGGGTGGGGTAGGGGCGAGTGGGGTGGGGTGAGGGGTGGGTGGGGTAGGGGTGAGTGGGATGGCGGTGAGGGGTGGGTGGGGTGGGGGTTAGGGGTGGGTGGGGTAGGGGTAGGGGTGAGTGGGATGTGGGTGAGTGGGGTGGGGGTGAGTGGCTTGGCGTGAGTGGGGTGGTGGTGGTGAGTGGGAGTTGTGATGAGTGGGATAGGGGTGAGTGGGGTGGGGGTGAGTGGGGTAGGAGGAATGAGATTTAAGACAAGGTGAATTTGGAAATGGGGCGTGTGTGAGGTAAAGAGGGAAGGGTTTAAGTTGTGATGAGGTTTTTGGGGAGGTGGGGACACGATGGACAACGGGTGAGGAAAGAGTGCGGAGAGGTCAAGGGGTGGTGAAGAGGGTGGGGGCAGGGTTGCGGAAGAGATGGGGGGGGGGTATTTCAAGAGGACTATGGTGGAGACACAGCAAGATGTGTAAAGATGGAAGGGCGGGTTGTGGGGGGTGTATGTTAAAGGGGGAGATAATACGAGTGAAGAGAGGAGGGGAGGGATGGTGAATGAGGTGTTAAGTAGAGGGACAGTAGTTGGTGAACTTGGAGGGAAAGAAAAAAAAAGAGAGAGGCTAAACACATAGAGATAAAAAGTAGAACAGGAAAATCCGGTACACGGAAAAAATAAAAATACGTAGAGAGAGGAAGAGGAAAAAACGAATCCAATATCTCGGAAAACGTTCTCCCTCGCCCGAGAGTCTTGTAGCACTCCGGTAATCGAATTAAAAAAACCTTCCCCGAGAAACCGTGATTTTTCTAATTCGGTGTAGCGTTGGGGTTGATTGGGACGGTACAGGGACTGTCTTAAGTCAGCTACAAGATTAGGATAGTACGGAGACTGTCTTAAGTCAGCTACAAGATTAGGACGCGGACAGTACAGAGACTGTCTTAAGTCAGCTACAAGATTAGGACGTGGACAGTACAGAGACTGTGTAAGTCAGCTACAAGATTAGGACGTGGACAGTACAGAGACTGTCTTAAGTCAGCTACAAGATTAGGACGTGGACAGTACAGAGACTGTCTTAAGTCAGCTACAAGATTAGGACGCGGACAGTACAGAGACTGTCTTAAGTCAGCTACAAGATTAGGACGTGGACAGTACAGAGACTGTCTTAAGTCAGCTACAAGATTAGGACGCGGACAGTACAGAGACTGTCTTAAGTCAGCTACAAGATTAGGACGCGGACAGTACAGAGACTGTCTTAAGTCAGCTACAAGATTAGGACGTGGACAGTACAGAGACTGTGTAAGTCAGCTACAAGATTAGGACGTGGACAGTACAGAGACTGTCTTAAGTCAGCTACAAGATTAGGACGTGGACAGTACAGAGACTGTCTTAAGTCAGCTACAAGATTAGGACGCGGACAGTACAGAGACTGTCTTAAGTCAGCTACAAGATTAGGACGTGGACAGTACAGAGACTGTCTTAAGTCAGCTACAAGATTAGGACGCGGACAGTACAGAGACTGTCTTAAGTCAGCTACAAGATTAGGACGTGGACAGTACAGAGACTGTCTTAAGTCAGCTACAAGATTAGGACGCGGACAGTACAGAGACTGTCTTAAGTCAGCTACAAGATTAGGACGTGGACAGTACAGAGACTGTCTTAAGTCAGCTACAAGATTAGGACGTGGACAGTACAGAGACTGTCTTAAGTCAGCTACAAGATTAGGACGCGGACAGTACAGAGACTGTCTTAAGTCAGCTACAAGATTAGGACGTGGACAGTACAGAGACTGTCTTAAGTCAGCTACAAGATTAGGACGTGGACAGTACAGAGACTGTCTTAAGTCAGCTACAAGATTAGGACAGTACAGAGACTGTCTTAAGTCAGCTACAAGATAAAGACGCGGACAGAGACTGTCTTAAGTCAGCTACAAGATTAGGCCACTACATCGCTGGCTTAAATAAGCTAACAAACACCTTTATGTTTAATTCGAACATTTACTGGGTGTTAACTGTTCTAGTGTATTTTATATCTCAGATTATCATGATAATATAAAACATTACATTATATCTGTATGTATTTACCCGTATAATAGGCTTTGGAAAGTAATTATATATATATATATATATATATATATATATATATATATATATATATATATATATATATATATATATAATAGCAGAACAATTTTCGTTAAAAAGACTCGTGTTTCTTGATTGCTAATAGCTATGTCTTCTCATTTCTTAGTTCGCTATAACTTGTTTCCATAACTTATAAAGAGTTAAGTTTCTCATATCTTATTGACTAAGTATAGTATTCAAATGTAAAATGATTACTTTTAGTTAAAAGATTGCAAATGTATTAATCAAAGTAATTTGCTAACAACAAGGAGTATAATTGTATCTCGTTTTAATAATCCACACACACCAAAGGGTACTATTACAAGAAAAGTGTCCTTTAAAACCTAATGACTTAAAAATTAATTAACCTAAATATTTAATGAGATAAACGAGAAAGACATTTTTACAATCATCTCTGTTCGGGCACACATAGAGAAAGATTATACTTATTTTTTATCAAGTATTTTTCTAACATTTGAATGCCCAAGGCAACGGGTTCAGTTTTCACTGAAATCGGATATCCCCAGGTTTCTTTTAATTTATATTAATTACGGTATTGATTGAAACAAATATTTGTGTTGATGTGTTCTTATTAAGGAATGTTGTGATACGAATACGATGACAGTACTGGTGGGGGGGGGGTGTATGATCTATCTCTTGTTTCTGTTCTTTAATTTTTTGTATTCCGCGCTAATTATCTTAATTAACTTCTTCTTTTGTTACATATGGGTGCGTTTCTATCTAACAGGCCTCTTACTTGACAGCGTATAGTCTATCTGTAGGAGACTTATTATTGAAATATATACAAAAGTTGTAGCAAAACCTATCGGACGACAGCAATACAAAATGAAAGAAAACACACGCAAGTTTAAATCTGATATTTTTAATTTATCTTATTATGTGACCCCCGCACCCCCCTTCCCAAATTATGGCTTGTTCTGCGTTCAATATTTTATGGTTGTCTTCCAATTCGCGAGATACAGATTAATCTACTTATTTAAGAATTAGGATATGTGGGCGTCAAAACAAAATTGCGCCCTTTCAGAATCCGCGTATTGAAATACGTTAAACAAAACAACACTTTTTACGCTGCAATCTTATTTCTTATCATTTGAAGATAGGCCTACATGCGATTGTCTCCAGATAAAGGGAAGTAACCTTTGAACTGTTTGATTTTCAGAGGGTGTTCTGGAGGTACACAAGGACGACAAGAGGTTAGGGGACATCAAGTCCGGTGGTCTGTTCGGTGAGCTGGCCATTTTGTACAACTGCAAGAGGACGGCGTCTGTCAAAGGTAAGGTTACCTCCCATTGGTCTGTAGAAGTGTAAGGTTTGATCAGATTGGTTACATGTCATTGATCAGAGTGAAAGGGTAGATCTGATTAGCTTCATTTCTTTGATCCAAGTGAAAGGGTAGATATGATTGGCTACAATTCTTTGATCAGAGTGTAAGGCTATATCTGATTGGTTACATTTCTTTGATCCAAGTGTAAGGTTACATCTGATTGGCTACATCCAATTATCAGTGTAAAAGGTTAGATTTTATCAAATGCGTTTGAAAAACACAAGTTCCGACTGGCCACATTTTATTTACTAAATTCAAATTCAAGATCAGATTGACTGTATTTGTTTTTAAAAAACGATATAACTGATTTAATCGACAGCATTTTAAAGTACACAAATAAAACATTATACGGCCATTTAATTTTTTTGCTAATATTCGCTGTGATACATTTTCTATATTCTATATTTTATTACCAATTTACCTTTGGGCTTATCCTCAATATTCACACAGCCACACACAGCCACACACACACAAGCAAATGCGCACACACACACTGAACGTTCATTCGTTACAATATTTAAAATAGGCCTATCCATTTTCTAAAATTAATACTAACATTTTTGTCTTTTTGAAATTCGATTGCTTTCAGTAGTCCTTTAACGCCCCCAAATCAATTAGGTTTTTATATGTTTATCTCTAATATGAATACAACGTCTGTCTTACTTATATATTGATTAATGTCATGATAAACTGTGATTAAATTTATTTTTTTAATAAAATAGTAACAAAATAATCACTCTTGAGTTTTCCCCTAATATACACCTTCAGAAGTGAAAACTTTCCAGGTAACAACGGTTTACAGTGAGTTTGTTTTCTCTCCCCCCCCACCCCTACAGCCGTAACCAACACTACACTATGGGTACTAGACCGACGTGTCTTCCAGGCCATTATGATGAAGACGGGTCTACAGAAACGAGAGGAAAACATTGCTTTTCTCAAAAGGTAAACATTTTTTTTCCTAGAGGTCAACTGTTAACATTGTTAAAGGTCAATAACTTTCTTAGAGGTTAACAGTTAACATTGTTGAAGGAACACAATTATCCACGAGAATAACATCATTTCCGCTAACTGTTAATGTTATTAAAAGTAAAAATTTTTTCTTAGAGGTTTTCATTGTTAAATTAATCACCTTTTCTAAAAGCTAACATTTTAAAAAAAAAAAACAATGTACACGTATATTTTCTTGTCTCAAGCTTAATGTCTTACGTAAATTATACTGTGTAATTTATAATTAAACTTATCTTATAATAGTTAGCATTTCAGTTTATGACGTTAAACTCATCATATTTTCCTTTTTGTGCCCACGACACATGTACCCGACACAAAAAGCCCCCTCCACTTTTGTCGGTCCACGGCAATTTTCCCGGCAGTCCCCCATGACAGTGCTGCCTCTGTCAACTGCTTCCCCGCTTGACCTTTGCTGGTTGACCTAGACCTTCCATGCTTTCTTTTCCCTGAGGCGTCCAGTTTATCGTTTGGATTCATTAGCGCCATCTTCTTTTGTTCGATTATCTCGGAAACTGCTTCCATTTCCACCTCTCGTAGTAGTATATTATTGTAGATGGTGTTAGGCCAGTGGATAACGTTAAACTACCAAACTCATCAATTGAAAACCTCCAGTTCATTTAATTCAGCTTTTATGCATATAAAACTCACTTTACAATCTTTGTAATCATTAGCTTTCTTTTCTAACAATTCTGTCAAATCACGAGAACAATATAGGCTACCAGATTCTCATTCTATTTCCAATAACAAATCTACGGCGATAAAAATTCCCCAACTAGAATTTGACCGAAGTACACTTAGTCAAGTTTCAGCCTCGTGACCTTTTTCTCTCATCTTCCTCCATATGCCAGATTTTTTAAAATGTTGAAGCTAATTTGTTTCCCAAGTTGGAAGTGCTAATAAAGCGACAAGTTTCTCCCCTAGGTGACTCGCGTACTGCAATAAAAAAAAATTTATTCCACTAAACGGAATAAAATTCTTTTATTTTTACTTTTTTATTTTTTTTTATTGCATGGAAATAGGCCTATATGTCGCTTTTTCCTTTTTTTTTTAACAGAGCTTTTTCTAAAAAAAAAAATTATCGATTTTTTTTGGCGAAACAAATATCATCGCAAAAGTCTATTTTTAAAAAAGTGAAACAAATGACAATTTTTTTACCAATAGTAATAGTCCATTTTCTTCACATAAACTAAATGTCGTTTTCTGGGAAAGTCTGCAAGCTTTAAATAGGCTCACCGAAAGCTCAATAGACAGTTTTTTTTTGTTAGCGTGGATGGTACCATCTATTGGGAATGGTTGTGTCTGACCATATTTCCCTGCGGAATAATAGACCGCATCAGGACACCTAATCGAACGTTTGATTGGCTGAACTGACTAAGCAATCACCCAACAGAAGAAACAATTGGCTGGCAATATTAGTGTGTATTAGGCAAATATTGGGTATTAGCTTTTCGCTTCGGGAGCTTAAATAATTTACAATAGAAACGTTGGTAAATATATGAGATGTATTTAATTTTAGCGAATTAAATAAAAATTTAAGGTTACAAATCTGGAGCAAATTTTTATTGGTTTTGTTGGCTAAATAAAAAGATGTATCGCAAACATGAGAAATACAATAATCGACAATACAAGTGCTAGCGATTATTGGATATGTTTTAATATTGGCGAACAAAATTAATTAATATCTACCTATTCAACAACATCGTTCCACAGTTTTATATAGACGAGCTAAAAAGTGCATTAAAAAAATATTAGCCAATATTGGAGTTTTCAGGACTAGCAAGTCGAACAAAAGTATTTTATAAAACAAGCATAAGAGACTGTTTGATATGATTTGATCAACAGAAACTATTTACAACACAAGCATTTGAGATTTATTGAAACCATACGTATATTGGCTAAATTAACTGCAATGAGTTACCTAGGGTTAACTTTGGTGTGAATTTCAGGGTGGGTCTAAATGAGTTAACTAGTGGGGTAATTCCAGCTCGGGTTTTGATGGGTTAACCTTGGTAGAAATTTTCAGGGAAGGTCTTGAAGAGTTAATTGGCGGCAGGTCTTAAAGTGTTAATTGGCATAGACATTATCCATTTGGGTCTTGATTGGTTACCTCTCGAAGACACTGTCACGGCGGGTCTTGGTGGGTTAACTTCATAGTAATTCTCAGGAATCGATTCTGTACCAAACTCTGTCATAAATGGAATGGGGGGGGGGTAGCTTCATTAGTATAACGTGGACGGAATCTAGTCCCATTTAGCGGGGTTTAAGTGAACTTTTACACCCAATTTCATTGAAATTACAACAAATCTTTTTGTATTAATGTAAATAGTCACCATCACACCTCCCCACTAACTACAAGCTATCATCATATGTTATCACACACCCCCCCCCCCCCCCCCCACATACACATACTAATACATGTAACATCATTATAAAAGAAAAACCAAAGAAAACATAGTGGGGAATTCTAGAGTTCAAAGTTCAACGACAGCCTAGTTTTAAAAGTACTACAAACACTAACCAACCCGCTAGATTTGATCAACGGAAAAAAGGACCAATCGAACGATCGATCCATTAGCCCAGGGGTCGGCAACCCGCGGCTCGCGAGCCGCATGCGGCTCTTTTGATATCAAGATGCGGCTCTCCAGCTCCTTGAATAAATACTAATAATCTTAATAAAAAAAAAAATATTTGAAATAAAAAAAATGTTAGTGGCTCTTTAAAACCAGGGAAATTTTGAAAATTGTAACTTTTGGCTCTTCCGCTTCAAAAGGTTGCCGACCCCTGCATTAGCCACAGTTCTGAAACCGTCCAGTCGATTTTACTCTGAGATAAGACAGAGGAGGCTACAACAACAACAAACATAATGGGCAGGCAGGGGCGGAGACTGAGCTAAGACAGGGGAGGCTACAACAACAACAAACACATTGTCAGGCAGGGGCGGAGACTGAGCTAAGACTGGGGAGGCTACAATAACAACAAACACATTGGGCAGGCAGGGGCGGAGACTGGGATAAGACAGGGGAGGCTACAACAACAACAAACACATTGGGCAGGCAGGGGCGGAGACTGAAATAAGACAGGGGAGGCTACTACAACAACAAACACATTGGGCAGGCAGGGGCGGAGATTGAGATAAGACAGGGGAGGCTACAATAACAACAAACACATTGGGCAGGCAGGGGCGGAGACTGGGATAAGACAGAGGAGGCTACAACAACAACAAACACATTGGGCAGGCAGGGGCGGAGACTGAGATAAGAAGGGGAGGCTACTACAACAACAGACACATTGGGCAGGCAGGGGCGGAGATTGAGATAAGACAGGGGAGGCTACAATAACAACAAACACATTGGGCAGGCAGGGGCGGAGACTGGGATAAGACAGAGGAGGCTACAACAACAACAAACACATTGGGCAGGCAGGGGCGGAGACTGAGATAAGAAGGGGAGGCTACTACAACAACAAACACATTGGGCAGGCAGGGGCGGAGACTGAGCTAAGACAGGGGAGGCTACAATAACAACAAACACATTGGGCAGGCAGGGGCGGAGACTGAGCTAAGACAGGGGAGGCTACAATAACAACAAACACATTGTCAGGCAGGGGCGGAGACTGGGATAAGACAGGGGAGGCTACAACAACAACAAACACATTGGGCAGGCAGGGGCGGAGACTGAGATAAGACAGGGGAGGCTACAACAACAACAAACACATTGGGCAGGCAGGGGCGGAGACTGAGATAAGACATGGGAAGCTACAACAACAACAAACACATAGGCAGGCAGGGGCGGAGACTGAAATAAGACAGGGGAGGCTACTACAACAAACACATTGGGCAGGCAGGGGCGGAGACTGAGATAAGACATGGGAGGCTACTACAACAACAAACACATTGGGCAGGCAGGGGCGGAGACTGAGATAAGAAGGGGAGGCTACTACAACAACAAACACACTGGGCAGACAGGGGCGGAGATTGATATAAGACAGGGGAGGCTACAACAACAACAAACACATTGAGCAGGCAGGGGCGGAGACTGAGATAAGACATGGGAAGCTACAACAACAACAAACACATAGGCAGGCAGGGGCGGAGACTGAAATAAGACAGGGGAGGCTACTACAACAACAAACACATTGGACAGGCAGGGGCGGAGACTGAGATAAGACATGGGCGGAGACTGAGATAAGACATGGGAGGCTACAACAGCAACAAACACATTGGGCAGGCAGGGGCGGAGACTGAGATAAGACAGGGGAGACTACAACAACAACAACAGACACATTAGGCAGGCAGGGGCGGAGACTGAGATAAGACATGGGCGGAGACTGAGATAAGACAGGGGAGGCTACAACAAACACATTGGGCAGGCAGGGGCGGAGACTGAGATAAGACAGGGGAGGCTACAACAAACACATTGGGCAGGCAGGGGCGGAGACTGAGATAAGACAGGGGAGGCTACAACAAACACATTGGGTAGACGGGGGCGGAGACTGAGATAAGACAGGGGAGGCTACAACAACAACAGACACATTGGGCAGGCAGGGGCGGAGACTGAGATAAGACAGGGGAGGCTACAACAAACACATTGGGCAGGCAGGGGCGGAGACTGAGATAAGACAGGGGAGGCTACAACAAACACATTGGGTAGACGGGGGCGGAGACTGAGATAAGACAGGGGAGGCTACAACAACAACAGACACATTGGGCAGGCAGGGGCGGAGATTGAGATAAGACATGGGAGGCTACAACAACAACAAACACATTGGGCAGACAGGGGCGGAGACTGAGATAATACAGGGGAGGCTACAACAACAACAAACACATTGGGCAGGCAGGGGCGGAGACTGACATAAGACAGGGGAGGCTACAACAACAACAAACACATTGGGCAGACAGGGGCGGAGACTGAGATAAGACAGGGGAGGCTACTACA